AGTCGTACACTGCACAAATCTGGCCTTTGTGGAAGAGTGGCAAGAAGAAAGCCATTTCTCAAAGATATCCATAAAAAGTGTTGTTTAAAGTTTGCCACAAGCACCTGGGAGACACACCAAACATGTGGAAGAAGGTGCTCTGGTCAGATGAAACCAAAATCCAACTGTTTGGCCACAATGCAAAACGATATGTTTGGCGTAAAAGCAACACAGGTCATCACCCTGAACGCACCGTCCCCACTGTCAGACCTGGTGGTGGCAGCATCATGGTTTGGGCCTTCTTTTCATCAGCAGGGACAGGGAAGATGGTCAGAATTGATGGGAAGATGGATGGGGCCAAATACAGGACCATTCTGGAAGAAAACCTGTTCGAGTCTGCAAGAGACCTGAGACTGGGATGGAGATTTATCTTCCAACAAGACAATGATCCAAAACATAAAGACAAATCTACAATGGAATGGTTCACAAATAAACGTATCCAGGTGTTGGAATGGCCAAGTCAAAGTCCAGACCTGAATCCAATCGAGAATCTGTGGAAAGAGCTGAAGACTGCTGTTCACAAACCCTCTCCATCCAACCTCACTGACCTCGAGCTGTTTTGCAGGAAGAATGGACAAGAATTTCAGTGTCTCCATGTGTAAAACTGATAGAGACATACCCCAAGAGACTTGCAGCTGGAATTGCAGCAAAAGGCGGCGCTACAAAGTATTAACGCAAGGGGGACGAATAATATTGCATGCCCCACTTTTCAGTTTTTTATTTGTTAAAAAAGTATGACACATCCAATAAATTTCATTCCACTTCACGATTGTGTCCCACTTGTCGTTGATTCTTCAAAAAAAATTAACAATTTATATATTTATGTTTGAAGCCTGAAATGTGGCAAAAGGTTGAAAAGTTCAAGGGGGCCGAATACTTTCACAAGGCACTGTAACTCAGAAACTTTACTATGATGGACCGGGGCGGCGTATCTTCTGGTGGACAAGGCCCCAGTGATCGATGTGCTCAGTCAATATGGAGGTTAGCTAAATCGTCTGAGAGCTTTAATCCATAACGGAGGAGATTCTCTATGAATGCTGCCACTGTAGCGCATTTGGTCTCAACCCCCTCTGGAACTCTGTAAATCAGTTTGTTTTCACGTCTGGATCGACTCTCTAGCTCCATTAGCTTATCTTCTAGCTTAAGGTGACCAGATTTCTGAAGTGAAATCTGGGGACATTTCCGGCTCAGAGACCAAAAACAATGATATTGTATCAAGATGAAATTAAAAACAGGGACGGTTACTGTTTCATTTATTTTTACATATTTATTCATGTTTAAACAATAAAAATCAAATATAACAGCAGGAATGTGTCTCTCCACACTGTTAACATTTCCAAAGAGTAATAAAATGAATAAAGTAACAATAGTAGTAATAGAATAGAGTACTAAAACTGGGGAGAGGGTCAGGGGTATATACTAGTATGTGAGCATGCATACATAGTGAGTGAACGAGAACATGTATGTACTTACATAGGTGTGTATAAGTACACAGTGTATGGTTACGTAGCTGATGTGTACTTATATTGTTTGTATGTGTGAGGTGAAGGTCAGGTAGTCCACTGACATGAGCTCATCTCTGGTTCTGCGAGGCCTCCTCTGTCTGAAGAGTCATGGTGGACATGGAGGTCTGGAATAGACGAAGAGCAGAAAAGGTTACGCACAAAACTGAAAGAGCACAGATAATAGTAATGAGAAATACTTATAACATGATAAATGAGACACAATTCAATAATAGAATTATATACCTATTATTTTATTTTTATTTGTTCTTCCACTTGTTTCATCGTCACTCAAACAACTGCCTCTTCACACTGCTGCAGTTAGAGAAGTACATGAACCTGACGCTCAGCTCAGAGGAAGAACTTCTGTCCTCTCAACTCGAACCAGCCGAAACATCTCACCAAGTATACAGACACTCTGTCATCACTCAGTACGTTACCAATCAAACCACTTCATCAGTTCATCACTTGAACTTTAATTGTAAATATTTGACATCATAAACATGTGACAGATAAACTTGAACATTAACTGAAGAGCAACAATCTGAAGAGCCGACCAGGACATAGGAATGGAAACTCTGCTGGTAATTTCTCAGTAAAATGACACTTCCTCTTCTTTGAAAGAGCCGTCTTGTCATTCAGACTCGACTTGCTTTTTTCCTTTTTTTCTTTGCAACACTCATCTGCTCTTTTACTTCTCTTTGCTTTAGTCTTCTTTCTATCCATCATTTTTTTCTTCTCTCTTTAACTCTTTTTTCTATTAGTCTATTTCCCTCCTCTCTCTCCTCTTCTATAAGTCTTCCACGTCTCTAAAACAGAGACATAATATAATCACAATCCCCTACAAAAATATTAGAAATATAACATACTGAAAATTTACTATTTAAGAAAATAAGATTTTTGTTTCAGATACCCTTTAGAAGTTGATAAGTTTTAGATGAGAAACTGGGGTTATCCTAGTGTAATCTTATTATAACTATTAACATAATTTTTAATTATTTAGAGCTTGTCATAGCACAGAAACAGCACTGGTGAAAGTTACTAATTATATTCTCACGGCCTCTGAGAATGGACAGGTGTCTACACTGGTCCTTAGACCTCAATGCTGCATTTCATACAGTTGATCATAATATTTTATTACACAATAAGTTTGAAAGTCTATGTTCACAAATCAATTTAGTTTAGTTTGTTTATATATCTCCAAGTCATAACAGAAGTCATCTCAGGACACTGAACAGAAAGATTCATATATAAAAGTAAGTTAACACTATTTATCTGAGGAGCCAGCAGATTTTAATTTTAATGCAAAACAACTCATAATTAGCTCTGAAAATATAAACTAAAGGTCACCAATCAATTCTAAAACATCTTCCTTTGGATGAACCCTTGGCGCATGCACCAAGTCTAAACCAGCTTAGCTGAGCCTGAAGACAGTTCATCATCCTGTTACGATTTCTCCCTCTCTCTCACTCGAGCTGCAGTTACTCCCTGTGTTCTCTTCTTGCCGATCTTGCAGATCTTGTTGATCTGTTTGTTAATAAAGCTTGGTTTGGGACGGTCCTCGCCTTTAGTAAAACTAAACACATCTCAGCCCTATTTTTTTTACCTGGACACAGCTGACAACACTGAAACATTTCCTACTGCGAACAAAACGTTTATCACGGCAACGATTATCCCAGTTCAAACTAAATAAATCTGTTCATACATACCATCACTTGATAACTCCCCGTGTTGACAAACTCATGCTGCACTTCTTCTTCTTCTGTTTTAAAGGTGGCGCGTGCGGCTCTTCTTCTTCTCTGTTGGCTGTAACGTCATCGCTGCAACGCCGGCGCGACCAGCTGCTACAGTAACAGCGGTTGTTGCGCGCAACTGCACCCGCGCACCATGCAACTTTTTTTCTCGTTCATAAAACGCTCAAATTGGGGACTTTTTCTGGGACAGCTTTAGCCGGGGACAGGTCATCCAAAACAGGGACTGTCCCCGAAAATCGGGGACGTCTGGTCACCCCATTCTAGCTGTATGTTCAGCTTCAACATGTCGGTCAGAACCTCTTCTGTGTTTTGAATTCTGTCCTTTAGCTTCGCAATGTGCTCTTCCGCTTCACTCAGTCTGTTATTTACCTTCGCGATTTCTTCTTTTAACGATTCTAATTGTTCTTTGTTTTCTTTTCAAAATCCCCTGAACTCTTGCAGGATCAATTCCAGGTCGTCCATTGCTGTAGTGCTCTTGATTTTAGCTTCTCCACTATTTGTTAGCTTTAGCTTCCCGATCTCAGCAGTTCCCTCCTGCCTCGTTGTCCGACGGGGAAGTCGAAACAGATATCCAAACGTCTAACCCCCTTCTCCTTGCCACGTTAAACTTGTATTAATTTCTCCATTGCTCTGGAGTTTACATAAAGTTCCTCGGGTTCTGTCGCGAGCTCCCTTATCACGCAGTCATTGTCCAGCTGTTCCAACTGGAAGTTGTCCTTCTACCAATATGCCCACTGTCCCTCCTCTGGACATGTTCAAACCATCTCAGTCTGGCCTCTCTTAACTTAATCTCCCAGCTGTTCAACCTGTGCTGTACCTCTGATGATCTCATGCCTAATCGTATCCATCCATGTCTCTCCTAAGGAGAACCTCAACATCTTCATTTCTGCAACTTCTAGTTCTTTCTCCAGTATTTTTGACAATGCCACTGTCTCCAGACCATACAACATAGCTGGTCTCCCCACTGTGTTGTAAACTTTTCCTTTGACCTTTGCTGACACCCTTTTGTCACAAATCACTCCTGAAACTTTTCTCCATCCAGACCTTCCTGCATGGACTTTTTTCCTTACCTCTTTACCACACTACCCATTTTCCTGAACAGTGGACCCCAAGTACTTGAAGTCCTGCACCTTTGTGAACTCTGCTCCTTGTAGCCTCACTGTTCCACCGGCCTCCCTCTCATTCACACACATGTACTCTGTCTTACTGCAACTCTTCTTTCAAGTGTATACCTCCACTTCTCCACGTTCTCTTCCACCTGTTCCCTGTTCTCACCACAGATCACAATGCCATCTGCAAACATCATAGTCCACAGGGATTCCTGCCTGACCTCATCTGTTAGTTTGTTCTTCACCAGAGCAAACAAGAAGGGGCTCAGAGCTGATTCTTGCTGTAATCCCACCTCCACCTTGAAGCTATCTGTCACTCCTACAGAACATCTCACCACTGTCCTGCTGTCCTCATACATGTCCTGTACCAGTCTAACATATTTTTCTGCCACTCCAGATTTCCTCATGCAATCCCACACCTCCTCCCTCGGCACCCTGTCAAATGCTTTTTCTAAATCCACAAAGACACAATGGAGTATGCTGGACCATTAAGATGGCTCTGACCACCACCAAATGCAGTTGAGATACAGACTTCTCAAAAGTTCAACACACAACCCTTACCAAAAATAAAATCATACAAAGACAAATGTACGCACCTTGTACAAATAGTTTAGCGGTTCTGATGTCAATGAGCTGGAGATCACAAGTCACTTGTCCTTGGTTGTTCCTCTCTGTGCTGTTCAGGACTAAGACCCAGCAGTGTCTGTTTGAGTTTGAACATTTCTCGGCAGTGATGTTTGGGTTGATGGAGGGCAGGACACCCCTCTCCTTGGAGATAGTTAGCACCGCTCTACCATTCAACAGCCACAACATTACAGTCCATAGAGAGCTGGAGGTGCTGCAGGAGAATCTGGCCTCGTCTCCTCGCACAACCGTCAGACTTAAAGGTGCCAACTCCATTTGAGTTCCACTTGCTGGAAACATACAATACAGGTTAGCATTTAAAGTCATATAAAACACTAGAGGGTGCACTGATCACACAATCTTATGACCTTGTGATTCACTGGAGTAATGTCAGTCATTACCAAACAGTCAAACATCTGTACAAGGTGTTTTGACTAAATAGCATCAGAGTAAGGGCTGCCTATGTAAAAAAAAGGTCAAAAATAGTAATAAAATGTGCGTATTATAAAAATAATATATTAGCATGTATATAAAACGTAAAAATGCCAGAAAGCTGTGTGTGCTACAGATGTTGGTGACAGAAGAGAAAATGGAAAACATGTCAGAGTCTAACAGTTTGTTTCTTATTTACCTCAATGTGAGCCGAGTGTAGCAGTTTGTTTCTTATTTACCTCAATGTGAGCCGACCAGAACTGAAGCTAATAATGTAACCGTTTAAAAGTTGTGTATAAAGATGATGTAGCTGCTGTTATTGAACTGGCTAGTAGATAGTAGCTCCTGTGGCAGATGTTGCTATGCTGTACAGGCTGAATCAAGCTACAACTTGATACAAATTATTAAATAGTACAAGCTGCTGTTGCCTCTGGCAACATTTCATTATACACTCTGTATGAATTCTGAAAATGTACTTTCTAATTTTAGGTATAGCTTAGACACTGATCACTGCAATTAGATACAATTAGCAGAGCCTACATACACACAATTTACATGTTAAAACAGTTTCAAATTCATAAACTAGTTGAAGTCATAATTGTTCAACTAGCTAAAATGTCTTGAAATCATTGGAAGGCAGTCATTAGTTATTGACTAACTTCAGGCCTAGTTTAGATCATACAAATTTCATTAAGTATATTTTCCTTCAATAACATATAGCTGTTTTACATAACTGTTGTATGAAATTAACATGAATTATGACTTATATTGTTATTGTAAAGATTATAATTATTTGTGACACAGATCCAGTTGGCAGCTGCCGGCTGTGAGCAGTTGCCTGTTTTGGACGCCATCTTAGTTTCTTTATGATGTCACAAATGTAAACAATGGGCGGGATGGGCAGTGCACACTTTAATGATATATATAACTCTATGGGCTAACAAACATAAACTTGTTAATATGCATTTTAATCTATGTGAAAAACATTGAAATACCTTCAAGTTTCAGGTACAACTGTAACTTCTGAAAGGTAGATGAAAACATCACTTGTCTGAATCAACCACGGATTAGCTTGTTAGCTGAAGCTAACATACGGTAAAGCTGAAACATGGGTGGGACTGCTAGTTTTTTTCTCTTTTGGCAGCAAAATTTGCCTGCCAGTATATTTAAACATCACATGCCATTACTGTAAATGTATGTTCAGTCCATTTGAATTTTACAGTGTGACAAAATAAAACTTTTTAGTCATTCACTATGTTTACATGGACATAAGTAATCGGAGTAAACGGCCATTCGGAATACCGAATGAATGAAAGAATAAAGAATTAATTTGTAATCCGAATGAGAGGGGTGGTTTATGCCGATTTGTAATCTGAACGGTGCGCATGTAAACTCTTAATCTGATCATTTTATTCCGACTGTGGAAAACTGACCTGACTGCACATGTGCGACCTATGTCTACCTCACGTATTTCCTGGCTAATGCTAATAATATTAGCATGTCAGAAAAGTAAAACTGATTGGTGAGCGACAACATTTCTACTAGAAACTTTGAAAGAGCTCAAAATGATCTGTATTACATGTAGCTCAGTCAGGGAGTGCAGTAACATCTCCACTGTCATTAAAACCTGTCGCGGGTCCATTTTGGGTGCTTTGGTTTGTTTACGTTCATCTCTCATTCATCTTTTAACATTTTTTTAATCTCAATTCCAATATATCTGAAATCTCTGAAATACAGTATATTGAAACATATGAAGACCTGTATGAAATGTGAATGGAATTGCCCACTAATGTTTGCTAATGCTAATCCTAAAAATATATAACCCCCTTGTAGTATATTTTATTTTTATTTTGTTTTTTTATTTTACCTTATTCTTTTAATCAGTTTTGCTTTTGATGTTCCCATATCTAAGTCTGCCTCTGCTATGCCATTTTGATAAATAAAGTTTTCTTTAAAAAAAAAAAAAAAAGTGTTAATCTCGGAAGTAAACCGTAAGTAGAATTTCTTCTGTGTTTTTTTAAGGACAGTTTACCACTCTGCGCATGTCAGTACTTCTATTCAGAATAAAAATCCACTGCATGTAAACGCTCGTCGTGAACAGATTGTGCCCATGTAAACGATACATTCACATTATTTAATGAGAATACAATTCAATCCGATCAAAGAATTTTGCGCATGTAAACATAGCTATTGACTACAAAGCTTTTTTTCGATGCATGCATGTTGTGAGCATGATAACTTAAAAAGTAAGTGAGATACCAACTTCTGTTTTGGAATATCTTGAATATTTTGGACTAAAACATTGAAATTTACTGGCATTCACTGTTCAATCCCAGTTCAGAAAAACACTCATCTTGAAAACTACAAACATTCACTATTCAAACCCCTCAGTGACAGGGGACATCGCTGTACCACTTGTTTTGTTTAATAAACCAAACTACACTATGAAGCACATACATACATCTATTCCATTTGTGAATCTGTTTTTATATAAAGAGGGTAAATAAATGTTTTTAATGGCAAATGTCTGTAAAACATCTGTAAATTGATTAATGTGGCCTATTCAGCTAGTTGGAACATTAATTTGTTTGTGTTGTTCATGGCAAAAACCACTGCTGACATGTTCCTGTTTTTAGTATTTTACATGGCTTCATAATGAAGCTGTTTTTGTTTCCATCCATCCATCCATCCATTTTCTTTACCCGCTTATTCCATTTTGGGTCACGGGGGTCGCTGGTGCCCATGTCCAGCAATCACTGTGCGAGGGGCGGGGTACACCCTGGACGGGTCGCAAGTCCATCACAGGGCCTGTTTTTGTTTCATTTTAATATAGTTTTATCTATTTACTTTTGATTTTATATGTTTTATTTGATTGTCTGTTGTTGTCTGTAGCCCATCTGTGTTCTTTGTTTAAAACAGGTCTCTCTTATAAATGAGTCCTCGAGGCTCAATGAGACTAACCTGTAGAAATAAAGGTTGAATGTGAATGTGTTGAGATTTTACAGCCAGCTTTCAATGCTCTAAATTGTGCATCTGTTTAGGAAATTAAATCCCTAAGAAAAAAATCTATGGTACTTGTTGTGGCTCAAAATATGTTACTAAAGCCAGCTAACCACACAAAACAGTATTTATACAATATAATCAGTGTCTAGAGTATCATTTGTCATTAAAAACAAATGTATGTACTGTATAAAGTACAGAAAGATCAATAAACCCTTAGTTTGTTTGGTCCTACAGCATGGAGCAACTGGTGATGTTAATAAAACCAAGCCACTATCTTCTGTGAAACATCCAATTGAGAAACCAGATTTAATCGTTTTGAACCAAAGTCTCACCTTCAAACATGCACGAAAACAGAAGCGCCAACAACAGGGGGATGTCCATATTTGATCTGTTGATCCAGGTAGTTGATTATTCAATATTAAATGACCCTAAAAAATAAAAACATTTCCTGTTTATTAAAATCAAAGATTAGATTTAGAACCTGTTCACCCTACATTTGGGTAATTTCAGGACTAAAATATATCATTTTAAAATGGCCTTCAAGTTTCCCTCAGTATTTAAATCACTGACTGTGTAAGTACAGTCTTGGAATCTGACAGTGTACCTTTCTGTACTATCATCTACTGTTGTGTTGTACTTTATTTTACACCTGCTGATAGACAGTCCACACAAAAATATTTTATTTACTCCCTGGTTACTTGAGTTCAGAATACAAACTATTTATATCACCTGAATTAAAACCACTGTAATTAGACACGTAGAATTACTGGGGATTTGTAATCTGACTCACTGCTTGTCTCAAACTTTTTTCCCACTGGGTTAAAAGCTGAATTTCTGCGTATAAGTTGCAATTCAGTCATACAATAAATATAAACTCTGTTTAGTTTCTATGACTTACCTCTGCCAGGTGTTTCTGTGGATGACCAGCAAATATCACACGCGTGAACACATCTCAATGATTTTCCTCATTCCGGCTCAGCTCAGTCATTTCACCCAAAACTTCTCCGTTAATTATTACCTGAACCAGTGGGAACTTTGTCCCATGCTACGCACAGGGCGATTCAGACTGCAAACAAATGTCTCTTCTACATACTCAGGCTCCTAAGACTAAGACCCCCTACTTTTGAGTTAGTGGATTTATTCATGTGGGATAAATTAATACATGTTTTGTAGTATTTTGATTTGTGATATTGTTTACTTTATTGGTTTTGGTTTCCAGACCTTGACACTTTCTACTCACCTTCTTCAACTCACTGGCAGTAATCATAATTGACAATCAGGAGAAGAGCTGCACAGTGGAGCAGTTGGTTGGTGCTGTCGCCTCACAGCAAGAAGGTCCATGGGTTTGACTTTCAGCTGGGGTCTTTCTGTGTAGAGTTTGCAAGTTCTCTTTGAGCATAGACTTTCTTTTATGCTAGCTAAGGTAGGGCTCATAATACATTTTATATCATGTATGTCTTTTATATGATGTCTATGTGAAAATGTTCTTCTTTTTCTGATTAGTCCTAATTCATATCTTAGATCTTATTGTTGTTTTTATTTTACATTTACAAACCGGATTCCAAAAAAGTTGGGACACTAAACAAATTGTGAATGAAAACTGAATGCAATGATGTGGAGATGGCAAATGTCAATATTTTATTCGTAATATAACATAGATGACAGATCAAAAGTTTAATCTGAGTAAATGTAACATTTTAAAGGAAAAATATGTTGATTCAAAATTTCACAGTGTCCACAAATCCCAAAAAAGTTGGGACAAGTAGCAATAAGTGGCTGTAAAAAGGAAACTGAGCATATAATGAACAGCTGGAAGACCAATTAACACTGATTAGGTCAATTGACAACATGATTGGGTATAAAAAGAGCTTCTCAGAGTGTCAGTGTCTCTCACAAGCCAAGATGGTAAGAGGGTCACCAATTCCACCATTGTTGCGCAGAAAGATAGTGCAGCAATACCAGAATGGTGTTAGCCAGCGTAAAATAGCAAAGACTTTTAAGTTATCATCATCAACCGTGCATAACATCATCAAAAGATTCAGAGAATCTGGAACAATTGCTGTGTGTAAGGGTCAAGGCCGTAAAACTCTAGTGGATGCTCGTGATCTCCGGGCCCTTAAACGTCACTGCACCTCAAACAGGAATGCCACTGTCAAGGAAATAACAGAATGGGCTCAGGAATACTTCCAGAAAGCATCGTCAGTGAACACAATCCACCGTTGCCAGCTGAAACTCTACAGTGCAAAGAAGAAGCCATTTCTAAGCAAGCTCCACAAGCTCAGACGTTTGCACTGGGCCAGGGGTCATTTAAAATGGAGTGTGGCAAAATGGAAGACTGTTCTGTGGTCAGATGAGTCACGATTTGAAGTTCTTTATGGAACACTGGGACGCCATGTCATCCGGACCAGAGAGGACAAGGATAGCCCAAGTTGTTATCAACGCTCCGTTCAGAAGCCTGCATCACTGATGGTATGGGGTTGCATGAGCGCTTGTGGCATGGGCAGCTTGCATGTCTGGAAAGGCACCATTAATGCAGAGAACTATGTTCAGGTTCTAGAACAACATATGCTCCCATCTAGACGTCATCTCTTTCAGGGAAGACCCTGCATTTTTCAACACGATAATGCCAGACCACATTCTGCAGCAATCACAACATCATGGCTACGTAGGAGAAGGATCCGGGTACTGAAATGGCCGGCCTGCAGTCCAGATCTTTCACCTATAGAGAACATTTGGTGCATCATAAGAAGGTGCGACAAAGAAGGCCCAAGACGATTGAACAGTTAGAGGCCTGTATTAGACATGAATGGGAGAGCATTCCTATTTCTAAACTTGAGAAACTGGTCTCCTCTGTCCCCACACGTCTGTTGAGTGTTGTAAGAAGAAGGGGGGATGCCACACAGTGGTAAAAATGGACTTGTCACAACTTTTTGGGGATTTGTTGACGCCATGTAATTTGGAAACAACAGATTTTTCCCTTAAAATGATACATTCTCTCAGTTTAAACTTTTGATCTGTGATTTGGGTTCTATTCTGAATAAAATATTAGATGTTGGCACCTCCACATCATTGCATTCAGTTTTTATTCACAATTTGTTTGGTGTCCCAACTTTTTTGGAATCCAGTTTATATTTTTGGATGTAAATGGGACCCTGTGTACATACAGTCATTTTGCTCCACCACATGTACCACATGGGGTGCAAACGACAATAAAGAATATCTATATCTGCATGTTTGTTTGTTTTTTCTAGAAAATGCAGCAGGTTGTAGAATCTGGAATTGCAAATGTGTTCTTCGTATATTCATGCATGAAGTGAAAAAAAAATCAAGCTCTATAGTTTTTACGACTTTAATATTAATAAGTCTTGACAAGCTCTAGAGTCCCAAGATATAAAAATAGCTTTTTGTTCACCATTTCACTGCTCAACTCTTTCGACGTCTCTCTGAACTTAAAATGTGCTTTCAAAGGCATCTAAATAAAAACAAAATATAACCTGAGTTTTTTTTATTCAATCTGCTTTATTTTACCAACACATCCATATTTTAGGTCAGTGTTTCAGTCTTTGTACAACAAGTGCATTATCAGTTTGCAGTATTGGCAGAAGTTCTTGTTCTGGTGGAGAAGTGTGCATTTGTTCTTCATTTAAAGTTCAAAAGTATCGGTTGGCATTCAGTGGATAAAAAGAGGAAGCAAGGCACAAATGAGATGCAGGTGAATTATAAATCCAGGAGCCACAAACTAAATGTGCCTTTTTTTTCTTATTTTTTTTTTAAAGGTTAATAAATAAGAATTTTAAAAGAAACAAAAATGAAAAATCTGCCTGAGTTCAACAAAACTGCCTTTTACAAAAGCTACTTATAACAAATACCCTCTGCCTACTCTGCACATTTTTTGATTACAGCATGTCTCTACACGTTAGATGTAACAATTAAGTCAACGTTGCAGTCAAAAGTGGGTTAGGCCAGTTTTGAACTACTGGTTTCCAGAGAAGTCCAGTGGTGAGACGCTGTCCAACGAGGCCTTAAGAGTGTGTAGGGGTGGGGCAGGGGTCAGGGAGAGATGGAACATTATGGCTCCTTCAGGCTAGAAAACAAGACAAACAGATGAGAGAAAAACAAGGTCACCAGTTGTCAGATGTAGCCGCCACCACCCACTATACGCCCGTGCCACCCAGCATGACCACTTTTCCAGAGGCAAGTCTTAGAGCTGGCTTAGCAGCTTCCTCTAACTAAACGTGACGTGGGCTCCGAAGGACCAGTTTGCCCATTCCTTCACCGACTGTTTCTTAAAACTTTTCCTGCAGCACGTCACAGATTCACAAACACTGAGCAGAACTAAACATCTTGCTTTGAAGATGAAGATTATTGTTATTATTATTATTATTATATGTATGTGTGGCTGATCCGGTGTGGGTGGGGAGGGGTGGAAGGGTTTATTTTTTTATGTTCTCTGTTCTGTTTGTGTTAAAAAATAATAATAATAATAATAAATTTAAAAAAAGACTTTGATTAAAAAAAATAATAACAGAAAGAAACTCAAGGGGGGGGGACTAGAAAAATGCTGAAAAGTTGAAATGAGCAGAAAGGAGCTAAAGGCAGCTGAAATTAGCAAAATCAAGTAAAAAAAAAAAACAGAGCAATAGCTGAAACGAGCATAAAAAGGCTGTAAACAGCCCAAAGTGCTTGAAGGATGTAGCTCCATTATATTTTCAATGAAAAATGAATGAAAGAAAATAACTAAATATTTTTTAAAGTAATAATTGTACTTTGTACAAATGTATAAATAGCTAAAGTCGTAGCAGGAATGTCCTTAATGAGCTAAACATTTTGATATCTGAATTGCTCAAATAGCACAAAAACATGCGGAATGAGTTAGATGCTGAAAACTGAAAGTGAAAACAGGATCTTAGTAATGTGCTTTATAAGCATTCACACAATAAAAGCCACTGCAGCACAGGTACATTTGGAACTGTTGCCGCGGTGACAGGTTGAGTAATTGTGTACTTATGCATTTGCCTTTTAATTTGCCAGCAAAGTCAAAGAGGCAAACCAAATTCTAAATACAGGTTTATCTTTTTAATTAATTTGGTTAGATAAAGGCCAAATGTACAAGCAGCATGAAGCGGGTGCTGCTCACTCAATTCACGTGGTGTTTTACTGCCACCCAAAGGTGCAACAGAGGCGCTGAAGCAACTAAGTGAGCATAAGTAATTTACCTGAACTGTTGGCCACCATTGTCGCCCCACTTTAAACTATTCAGCCTCTTCCTCCTGTGGAAACACAAAGAATGGTGGCTTTATATGCAACACTTAGACACAAAGATGTGAGAGATGGCAAAAAAGAATTACAACAGGACAACCCAGGATACGGTGATAATTAAAGTTTGCTGTTTTTGTTGTTTAAAGACGGCTGGCTTTCTTTTCTTGTTTTATAAAGACAGCTTGCTTCTTATCTAAGACTCTTAATCAGATCAAATAGAAAAATGAGTAGTTCCAAGCTTTAAAGCTGCTGTGAGCTGCTCTGTTTATGAGAGCTGAACTCAAAAAGAAACTGTCCAAATTACATGATTTAACACTTTTTTATGATTTGTCTACTGGACGATTGAGTTTTCAAACCCTTTTCAAAGGCAAATCATTCTCCCTCCCCTCGATCCCAAGAAGGAATGGGGAATGTCAATATGGTTGTTGGGCTTGATTCCACCAGCAGTCACATGCTGAAGTGTCCCTGGGCAAGACACTGAACCCCTCATTACCTCCGATGTGTGTCCTAACAGTGTATGAATGGCACAGATTGTAGTGTAAAGCGCTTTGAGTATTTTAATAAAATAGAAAGGTGCTATATAAGTGTAGTCCATTTACCGTTCAAGACAATACTGTTCAGAGATTTGGACAAATAATACAGATGGCTTAAAAATGGCATAAAAGAAACAAGGAACAGACCAACATTAAACTAAGGAGGTAGTAGGGCTGGACAATGATTTGACAATAATTGGATATCGATATACATTATGTCACGATAGACTTTTATTATTTCACTGACGCATTTTTTTTTCTGTTTGGGTTGAAGCGGACGCTTCAGTTTCAACCTGAACCGAAAAAGCCACAACACAACTACGAAAGTGCGTGGGAACGCAGAAGTTACGAGGAGATCGAGTCCAGATTCAGAAGGAGTTAGCAGTAGCAGGCTAGGCTAATCTCCAACGCACGGTAAGTTTTCGCTTCAAAATGAGTGCCCGTGACCGTCAGAATGTGACAGAACAAGGTTTCACAAGCGAAGAGAAAACAGATGACATATCTGATAAGAGAGGAAAGACTAATTCAGCGGTGTGGAAGTGGTTCGGCTAGCTAAGATCCCATAAACTGCAGGTTTCAGTCGTGCTGCAAAATGTACCGGAGATTCGTTACAACTAGCGGTGGGAACACATCTAACTTGTTCCACTCAATAGAATATGATGAGAGTCAGAGGATGAAGCACAATTAAAGTTTGAGTCAACGTGCCCCTGAAACAACCCCCCCAGCTGTATCAAAAGAGAAACACATGCAGCAAACGCAGAAGTTAGGTTATGTTGTTGTTTAAAGTTCAAACTATTAATATTAACAAAGTTGAGAGTTTTATGTTTATTTGACGGTGAGTTCAAATTTCTTTGAATGCTAAATACAAATAAAAGGTGAACATTAATTTATTTGTACAGTATTTCTGAGGCTTTAATATTGTTTATATCAATATCGGATTATATCGTTATTGACCAAAATTAAGAAATATATTGTGATAAAAGTTTTGGCCATATCGTCCAGCACTAGGAGGAAGGGTACTGTGTCGACTTTACTAACAGTTTTGAATCTAATTTCCAGTGAATTAAGCTCTAATTTGCACTTTCACGCATGTAACCAAAACATCTATGTGGAGCAGGCCAACAAGGACCCTGGGGATCATCAGGAGAAAGAGGAGGAAAAGTGATTTGAGTGTGAGTTCAGGTCGCACAAACAGAGCAACTCACTTAAACTTTTGGAACTCCATTTCTTTCTGTTTGGATTGAGAAAGCTCCATAAATGAGAAGCAAAAAATGTTTATTAAAAAAAAAAATTATGCCTACTTGCCTTAAAAAAAATTGTCAGGAGTTTACAACTGCAGAATGATTATTTAGTGTTTGATGCATAAATACAATCAGAACAGAAGCTCTTCCAAAACATCAGGGTAGAACAATCCAAAAGATTTTCTTCTTTTTAACCTTCATCCTAGCAGTTTCTATACAACACCCAAACACCAAAGTACTCTAAATGTTTGTTACATTTTGTCTGTGTTCATATCCCACACAGATGTTACCTCTGAACACAGCAAAGAACAAGACAGTTTACAGGCATGTCAAGCGCAGGTAGGACTTCAGGTGTGCAAAACAGAAAAACTGCTTAAATGTGGGTGTTCGACACGTTATCTTCTACCTTGGATACATCAAAAATAAAGTTGGTGGACTGTGTGAAGTCATGCATCAAATGAAATGAGGATGAGTGGTCTTCACGTTAGTGGTTGCAGTTAAAAATGGTGAAGATTAATCTTAGAGGACTGAACAGTTAGTGTGGAGGATTGCTCTGATGGACTTAGGAAGAGACAAAAGTGTCTACATGAGGTTTTTATTTGTGACTGGCTCATGCAGAAAAACCTCAGTATAATTCACAACATGCCCAACAGAAACAAAAGCCCACAATCAAAACATATACCTCTTCTTCTTCCAACTCTTCTTCTTCCTATGAAAGATGAAATCAGGGTGCATTTAATTGGAGAATACAAGCAGGTAGGTGGATACTGGTCCATGTATGAATGCCTTTTGTGATTCCTCACTAGTTCCTCTTTAAACGTTAAGTGAACTGTAATCGTGCTGCACACCATCACACACTCTATAAAAAAAGGATCCTACAAGCCTCATGCAGCACACAGAAATAAAACCAACAAGAAATGTAAAGCCTAGAAGACAGAACACCAACAAAACGACGTGGGAAAAAATACAGCACTGCCTCTTTCGTCTTGGTCCTGCAATAAAATGGGGAACATTCACAACTGATAGAAAAGGAAGGATGCAAAGGAGGCGAAGCAGTGAAGCAGAAGCAAGTTGGAATGTTTCAGAGGCAGAGCCCTTTGACATACACTGCTTCCATGAACCAACCTTTATGCACTTTGCTTTGAGTTTAAAATAAACATTGTTGCACCCTGAAAGATGTAACATCTAATTTGGAATCTGATTAAAACTAAACTCTTTGAAAAAGTTCATGCAACAAAGTCTTCATGGACTGACAAACTCTGACAGGCAAAACTCAGGGCCAAGAGGCACCCATGAAGCACTGACCTTTTTACAGTTACAGTTACTAATACGCATGCACAGAGTCAGTGTTTGGTGATGCATTGTGGTCTAAGTAGTTTCATGCCTACTTCTGGTTCGTTGAAACACACTTGATCTAAACAATGTTCAGATCTAACTGTTTCAGTTCGGCTCTGCAGTCGTTCAGACGCTCTGCAACATTGCGCACACATCGCACACATCGTTAAATCCTAACCTATTCCTAATACTAATCGTAAAATAACAATAAAACTAATTTACAAGCACGTTTGTGTACAACAGTCAATAAAAAGCCGGTGTAAAAGGAATAGCCATGAAACTTTGCGGTAGTGGAGCTTGATTTAACACATGTGCATTAGTAAACCTAAAAGGGTTGATTCTGTTGTTACTTAAAGCAGTAGTTCAAATCTTTTAAAGTGGGGAGCCATTTAAGGAGCTTTTTCCAACTGGTGAGATATTAATTGTTCACAACCTTTTCAAAGAATCAACCTTTAAAAAAATTGGACTATTCCTTTAACAGGGCTATTCAACAAAAGTTCTCAGGGGTTCACAGTTACTGAAAGCTGAGAGCTCAGGGGACGGACATGCAGCAGTTATTCTTAGGTAAGTTTGTTTTACAATTTAAAATCAAATTTTATTTAAAAATGAACCCATTTGTGGTCCAAACTAAGCACACCCATGGGCCTGATTTGGCCCCCGGACCACCAGTTGAATAGCCCTGCTTTATGAGTTCATTGCTGTGGACCCACTAACAACAACAGATGACTAACCAAACAAGTGAATATAAAGGTGCTGGTCATAAAATTAGAATATGATGAAAAAGTTGATTTATTTCAGTAATTTCATTCAAAAAGTGAAACTTGTATATTATATTCATTCATTACACACAGACTGATGTATATGAAATGTTTATTTCATTTAATGTTGATGATTATAACTGACGACTAATGAAAACCCCAAATTCAGTAGATCAGAACATTTGAATATTGTGAAAAGGTTCAATATTGAAGACACCTGGTGTCACACTCTAATCAGCTAATTAACTCAAAACACTTGCAAAGGTCTTTAAATGGTCTCTCAGTTTAGTTCTGTAGGCTACACAATCATGGGGAAGACTGCTGACTGGACATTTGTCCAAAAGACAACCATTGACACCTTTCACAAGGAGGGTAAGACGCTAAAGAGGCTGGCTGTTCACAGAGCTCTGTGTCCAAGCACATGACCGCTGCAGCGAGCTAACGGGGAAATCACGGGGGGGCGGAGTGTGCATTTACGTGAGTAAAAGTTGGTCCACGAACTGTACTGTTGTAAATAGCTCATGCTCGAAGGCTTTGGAGCAAATAACAGTGAAATGTCGGCCACATTATCTACCCCGAGAGTTCACAGTGACTTTTATCACAGTTGTTTACATTCCTCCGGACGCTAATGCTAATGAATCACTACAGGAGCTTCATGATATCATCAGCTCGCTGCAGAACAAACACCCCGAGGCTCTTTACGTTGTAGCCGGAGACTTTAACCACGTGAATCTAAAGGACTGTCTCCCAAGCTTTAATCAGCATGTGACGATTCCAACACGTGGAGACCGCACGCTGGACCGTGTTTACACGAACGTAAAAGATGCATACAAAGCCGAACCCCGCCCCCACCTAGGACTGTCAGACCACATCTCAATCTTCCTGGCTCCTGCTTACATGCCCCCGCTGAGACGCTCCAGACCGGTACAAAAGAAAGTTAAATGTTGGAGCCAGGACAGTGGACCCATACTGAGAGATTGTTTTGTTCGAACAGACTGGCAGGTTTTCAGAGAAGCTGCTGAAAATGGAGGTTCGCTTGATCTTGACCAATACACATCCTCAGTACTGGGTTACATTAGTACATGTACTGACACAGTCTCCACTATCAGAAATGTTAAAAGCTACCCAAACAGAAAACCTTGGCTGAATGCAGAGGTGCGTACCCTGCTGGAAGCCAGGAACACTGCCTTCAGGTCTGGAAACTCAGAGGAGCTGAGTAGGACAAGAAAAGAGCTGGTTGCTGGTATTAAGAGGGCCAAGGGCACATATGCAAAGAGGATCGAGGGTCAATTCATCTCACAAGACCCTCGGAGCATGTGGAGGGGCATTAAGTGCATAACGGATTATAAAGGAAGGAGTGAACAATGCCCCAAAGACCCATCTCTGCCTGATGCCCTCAACAAGTTCTATGCACGCTTTGAAGACCCGAACAGACCACCCAGCACCAGACTCACCTCACCACCCGATGAAGAGCATCTCAGCGTGACCTCAGCAGAAGTAAGGAGTACCTTCAGGAGGATTGATCCGCACAAGGCAACTGGCCCAGACAACATCCCCGGAAAAGTGTTGAAGGAATGTGCTGATCAGCTCTGTGAGGTGCTGGCAGACATCTTTAACACCTCACTTACCCTGGAGACGGTTCCCACCTGCCTGAAGACTGCCACCATCATCCCAGTCCCAAAAAGCTCTACAGTGACTGGTCTGAATGACTATCGGCCAGTGGCCCTCACCCCGATAGTCGCTAAATGCTTCGAAAAACTGATCATGACTCACATCAAAACAACCATCAACATCAACGAGGACCCTCATCAGTACGCATACCGTGAGAACCGATCAACAGAGGATGCAATCTCCTCTGTGGTCCACACTGCACTCAACCACCTGGAGCAGAAAAACTCTTACGTCCGTATGCTCTTTGTGGACTTCACATCCGCCTTCAACACCATGATCCCCCAAACCCTGATGGACAAACTATCCACACTAGGACTAAGCCCCTCCATCTGCAACTGGGTACTAGACTTTTTAACAAACAGACCACAGTTAGTGAGGATCCACAACCTCTCCTCCTCCACCATAACCCTCAGCACTGGCTCTCCTCAGGGATGTGTGTTGAGCCCCCTTCTGTTTACTCTGCTCACATATGATTGTGCAGCTACCCATCCAGGCTGTCACATTGTAAAGTTTGCAGATGATACAGCGGTGGTGGGATGCATCACAAACAATGATGAGTCCAGCTACAGGCAAGAGGTGGAACACCTGGAGAGCTGGTGCAGAGAGAATAACCTTCACATCAATGTGAAGAAGACAAAGGAGATGATTGTGGACTTCAGAAGGAACAAAAACACCTACACCCCCCTGAACATAAGAGGATCTGCGGTGGAAGTGGTCTCCAGCTACAAGTACTTGGGTGTACACATGAATGACAACCTCAGCTGGAGCAACAACACCACCAGCCTGATCAAGAAAGCTCATCAGAGACTCTACTTCCTCAGACGGCTGAGGCGAGCTGGTCTGGGAAGCTCAGTCTTCACCTCCTTCTACAGGTGTGCAGTGGAGAGCATCCTGTGCTCAAGCATCAATGTGTGGCATGGAGGCTGCACAGCTGCAGAAAGAAAAGCTTTGCAGAGAGTGGTGAAGGCTGCACAGAAGACTGTTGGAATCAGCCTCCCCACCATCACAGACATCTACACCTCTAGATGCAGGAAGAGGGCCACCTGCATCATGAAGGACCCCACCCACCCAGCACACACACTTTTTGCCCCACTCCCCTCAGGAAGGAGGTTAAGGAGCATTAAGTGTAGAACCACTAGACTGAGGAACAGCTTCTACCCTGAGGCTGTTAGACTCATGAATCTCTAACTAGAATAATCACTGTGTAAAACCATATCATGTTGCTGCTGATCTGTTTCATGTTGCTGCTGATCTGTTTCAATGTTGATGTGTTCATGCGTGCACATCTGCTCACAGACTCATGTTCATGTTTGTGCTGATGTTCAATGTTTTTATGTTATGAGTGCTTAGTGTATATTTAGTTGATGTTTTTCTTAGTTCATATCTTGGATGTTATTACTGTTTTTCTTATACATTTTATTGTTGGATGTAACTGGGACCCTGTGTACATAATTTCGCTCCACCACATGTACCACATGAGGTGCGAATGACAATAAAGAAACTCTGACTCTGACTCTGACTCTGATTAATAGAGAGGCAAAGGGAGGGAAACGATGTGGTAGAAAAAAGTGTACAAGCAACAAGGATAACCGCACCCTGGAGAGGATGGTGAAACAAAACCCATTACAAAATATGGGGGAGATTCACAAAGAGTGGACTGCAGCTGAAGTTAGTGCTTCAAGAACCACCTGGCTCAGACGTATGCAAGACAAGGGGTTCAGCTGTCGCATTCCTTGTGTCAAGCCACTCTTGAACAAGAGACAGTGTCAGAGGTGTCTCGACTGGACTGTTGCTGAGTGGTCCAAAGTTATGTTCTCTGATTAAAGTAAATTTTACATTTCCTTTGAAAATCAAGGTCCCAAAGTCTGGAGGAAGAGAGGAAAGGCACAGAATCCACATTACTTCAGAGTCAGAGTCAGAGTGTCGTCCAGTGTCAAGTTTCCACAGTCAGTGATGGTTTGGGGGCCATATCATCTGCTGGTGTTGGTCCACTGTGGTTTCTGACGTCCAAGGTCAACACAGCCGAAGTTTTAGAGAACTTCATGCTTCCTGCTGCTGACCAACTTTATGGAGATGCAGATTTTATTTTCCAACAGGACTTGGCACCTGCACACGGTGCTAAAGCTACCAGTACCTGGTTTAAGGACCATGGTATCCCTGCTCTTAATTGGCCAGAAAACTCGACTGACCTTAACTGCATAGAAAATCTATGGGCTATTGTGAAGAGGAAGATATAATTCAATTCAATTCAATTCAAAAATACTTTATTAATCCCAGAGGGAAATTATTTTGTTGTTGTAACTTGTTATCCTCATTTCATTAAGAGATGTTATAAATGATGATGGCTGTAGACAGGAAGGATCTCTCGTTGTAAAGGTCCATCCCACAGTGGATCCCAAGAAACTGGCTGTAGATGCTGTCCAATCCGTCCACCCCAACTCGGCTGGCCTCTCGGTTCCCCCGGGTTGTAGTACCACCCGAATGCCGGGCAGAACTCCTCCCAGAGCGATGGCCACCCCTCCCAGCAGTCTGCCAAGCTCCTCGTCGCTGTGGACAGCCACCTATAGGTGCCGAGGGACGATCCTGTCCTTCCGCTGTCCTGAGCCATGTTTCCTGCTGCTAGTTCCAGGATCTCAGTGGTCAGGCACTCGAGCACAGCTGGCAGGTAGATGAGAATGCGTCCACAGAACATCCTTTTCAACTCATTTGGGATTTGGGGCTGTAGTTGAGATATTATTTAAGCTTTTGAGATGTTAATCAGCTGCTGTGGGTTGTCGAAAACTGCCTTGTTACCATGGTTACGCATCATAACAAATGTCCAAAACTGAAAAAGTTTCAGTAAACATCCTTCCAGGTGCACAGCATCCGATACCAGAGGAAACAATCATCCAAAAAATTGTGATGTACATCCAGAAAAAGAGGAATTAAAGTTTCCAAAAGCAAAATCTCAGAATGAAAGTAACAGAGCTGCTCCAACATGCAGCCACCTTGAGCGGCGCAATTCTAGAACACAATTCTAATACACCAGACCCAACAATTCAGAAGAGCTGAAGGCAACTATCAGAGCAACCTGGGCTCTCATGACACCTGATCAGTGCCACAGACTGATCGACTCCATGCCACGCCGCATTGCTGCAGTAATCCAGGCAAAAGGAGCAACAACTAAGTAATGATGCTGTACATGCTCATACTTTTCATGTTCATACTTTTCAGGTGGCCAACATTTCTAAAAATCGTTTTTTTTTAATTGGTCTTAATATTCTAATTTTCTGAGATACTGAATTTGGTGTTTTCATTAGTTGTCAGTTATAGTCATCAACATTAAAAGTCAGTATATATGTAATGAATGAACATAATATACAAGTTTCACTTTTTGAATGGAATTACTGAAATAAATCAACTTTTTTTATCATATTCTAATTTAATGACCAGTATCTATACTTATTAAACAGGACTGTGCCTTAAAATCATACTGTCAGTTCAAATAAATGTATTATACAAATTTGATCAAACTAAAGAAACAAAAGTGTGAACATAAACTATCATGACAACATTATTAGCCTGTGTATTAGTTTATGAGAATCACTTGAATAAACTTTCATCATTACTTTACAGGTTACAATCAAAACATAAGGTTGCCAAAGGTTTCCTTGTTGCCTTATCAATTAACTTTTTTAATTGTATGTTTATGTAAAGCTGTTATTCTAAATATGTAAATAATTCAATTGTCTTTACAATTTTGTACTTATCAACTATGGGCAGAGGACAACAAAAAAGACAAAATGCTTCATATAGCAGGAGGTGTCAAAAGATGCAAAGGATGGATGATTAGAAAGATAAAACAGGAACCAAGGTAAGATGGTCACATAAAGAAATAATTCAAATCTACCTCAAGTTGTTGCAGCTCTTCTTCCTCCTATAACAAATAAATAGCAGGTCAGCATGCAGCGCGGGGAGCAAAGAGCACCACATGCATGTGCTACATGGATGTCTCTGGTCTTTTTTTAAACAAACAGAACCTAAAGGAATAGATGAGAGGGTCAGGAAACTGGTTTAACTGGGAAGAAATAAAGGTTAGCAGAAAGGGAGTAAAACAGAAAACTCATGGAAAAAGAGAAGAGAGTTGAAACCAGCACACCAAAACCTCCTCCCGCTTCAACCTAACCCAGCCATAACAGGCTTTTCTGATCTTTGCACCGTCAAACACACAATGTTTTTTACTAAATGAAGGAACCATGCCCAGAAATGATCGCAAGTGCACAGTTACCTCTGACTGCAAATCCTTTTTCTTCTGGAAGGAGCAAACCAAGAAAACATAGGCAATAGAGCAAAGAGGGAGTGAAATGTCTGACAGTGTGTATGAGGATCATGACTGGAGTTAGAAACAATTTGGTAAACATGAAGACCAGCCATGAACAAATTTGCACAAAAGCAGGTCTAGACCGGGCATCAGAGGAAGCTGGTGGCATTATAAATGGAGGGATAGTGTTATCAGGCAGTTGCTGGAGTGTCTGATGGCTAAGCAAAACAGTGAGTGAAGGTCACCGGATGAGGAAGCTGCCTCTTGGACACATTAAGAGTTTTCTCAGGGTCTCGTTGTGGATTTGCATGAAGCCAGGTGGTCAGATTGTGCATACCTCCATCCAGCATGAATGGAGAACAGCTGTCACTAATCTGATGTTGGAATCAGTGAGCACATGATGCAACCACACATATAAAGGGTCCATAAAGACAGACCATACCATGGGAAAAGTATGGTTTTCTGCTGCATAAATTACAGAACCCCATGGAATCTGCACCTGCCATATGGACACAGGTATTGGACTCTTTACAACACATCATGTTTCAACAACTGCACTCAGTTGAACCACGGGTTCACTGGCCCGGGTGTAAGTTATCATTTCCACCAGAGCAAAACTATCTGTCTGGAGTGATGGTATAACCAGGGCTTAATATGAGCCGGATCCTGCCGGAACAGGATCCGTGAACTCTCTTATTTTGATAGAGTGCATTCCGGTAACTGTTTGCTCAGATCCAGTAACTCTCAGGCTTACTAATAATAAAGTTATGAACAAATATGACTGTCTTGATCGAATAAAACTTATATTGGATATGTAAACTGAAAATAATTACATAAACACTCATTTTAAACACAACAGCCACTTACGAGCTTCTTAAAATCACACACAGGTCTCTCTTGTAAACAGGTCTCTTGTAAATGAGTCCTCGAGGATCATTGAGACTAACCTGTATAAATAAAGGTTGAATGAATGAAAAAAAGTGTCCTTTGAAGTTAGCATTTGCGCTTCTACCCTTAAAAAAATCTCCGCCCCTAAAAGTCCAAAGTCATTGCGCAACTTTATTTAAAAAACTCAAAAATATAATTAAACAGCCCAACAAAATGGCAAATCAGTTCAACAGATTAAGAGGTTCATTAATAAAACTTTTATTATTTATTAAAAAATACGAGAGAAATGTTTGATGTGTATTATTCACATTACGTATCAAAACAATGGCGCTAATTTGTCAAAATAACAGCTAGGATGCTTGACAGAAGCGGCGTGTTTACAAATGTAGGTAAACGTAGATGTTTAACAACCTGTTAAAGTACACCAAAATGCAGGAACTTGCATCTACTTAATTCAAAATTTTCTGGAGGAGTACACCCAGACCCACCCCTCACTCCAACCCCCCTTGTGTGGTTGAAAGGTAGTGCCCAGGAGAAAGGATCAACCCTATCTGTGTTCTGGCAAAGCTCACAGGTGTACTCCTGCCAGGTAACCTCTGGTAGTAAAACAGGGCCCTGACGGTACAAAGCTACTTCAATGACATTCTGTGTCGTCAATTATCACTAATAATAATCACTTATCTTTCTAGACAGCACACCAGTATAGCTTTGAACAAGATTCTCTGCATCACGATGAAGGCTTTCTGTCGCCAGCCAGGTCTTACAATCTTCAGTCAAAAATGTAGGATTGACTGAAAACATACCATTTTAACCAAAAGGTTGAAAAAAGTTCAAGAGACATTTTTTGAAATGCATCTACAGTCATTTTTTTGGGGGGAAATGCACACTATTCAAGAAAATGAATAAATAAACCAGAGCAGCTGCACCATGTTTAATACATTGAATAGTAGTGGCAGATCATTTATCAGCTTTTACTGGTTTAGATTAAATACTTTGATTGTAAAGATAACCGTTTTATTCCAAATGTCAGCCAAGTGACAACTATGAACCTTTGCTACATCAAACGGCATCGTGACAGTAGTCGACGCGGCTCTCAAGCCACAAATAAAACCAAAGATGAGTCAACTGAACAGATTATAGAATGTACAAATGTAGGTCGTTTTAGTAATCAATCTGTAAAGCAACACTCAGTACGAACGACAGAAGGAGGTGGGAAGAGGTGAGGAAACTAACAGCTGTTCAGAAAAATAAAACTCTTTAAAAGCATCCATGTTTGCTACATTAATGCACTCTCACGAAATGTAATAACCAATAAAAATATTGCTGCTAAGTCTTGCCAACAATCGTGCACCCATAATTTTCTACTGGTATTAGCAATTGCAATGCAGCAATTTTATGAATAAATATTATATTTTACACCTTGTCATTTTTCTTTCCTTTTTCTGTAAAGTTATGAATAAGCTTGCATTTATATAAGGTTTGCAAAATAACAAAGCAGGAGATAACAGGAGATATTTTCAGTTATGTTTAAGAGACAAACAATGTGTTTAATTAAAAAAATAATGTCAATCTCTTCTTACAGACAAAATAATTTCACAGTAAATTCTATATAAGAGCATAGTATGGAAAAGGTTTTGAAAACTTACTTGTTCTTCATCCTCTTCTTCTTGTGCCTGCTTATAGAGAAGACAAGACGGTATTAGATATCTCAGATACTAACAATTCTCACACTCAATAGCAGCCACAAATCAACGGTTTTAACAAGAGAGAGTGGGACGGTTTGGGGGCTTTTCTGACACAATTTAACAGGACAGTTAATTGTGAGTTAAAATGCCTCAAACCGTCAGCTGCAAAATCAAGCCAGGTTGTGACAGTGTCATTAATGTAAAAAAAAAAAAAATCCATAAAAACAAACAAGAAACCTGCAGCAAGTCAAAAATCACAACACATATTGAAATAGTTAAATACCCATTGAAGCTGAAGAGAAATTAAAGTGACAATTAATCCAGTGAGAGAAGACGGGAGACAAGAATGATGTACAAACCTTTAAAAAAAAAGGCATTCGTTGAAAAAATGGGGGGAAATGAGATGAAGCAACACTGAGGGAGTTAATTAACAAATGTTTTAATGGTTTCAGGGAATGGAGAAGCAGTAAACCAACAAGAGAAGGAGTTTTAGTTATGTGGGAGGTAAAGTGTCTTCTGTAACCTCGTCTGCCTCCTCCTCTTCTTCATCATCTGCCTCGACACCCTCACCTTCCTCCTCGTCAGCAGCCTGATCCTCCTCTCCATGTGCGTCTCCGTTATGCTCCTCTACTGGTACCTCCTTGTTGGGAGGTGAAAACAACGGGAAGAAAGAGCGTGATCAAAGAAAACAAGCATCGAGTTAAAACATATAGGAATGTTTTGTTTTGGAAGGAAAAAAGAGAAATGGGATGGTTTGCCTTAAATGTGAAGGCATTAGGAAAGTAAAATCAATGTGTTAGTTCTGTAGAAAAGCTTTTAATAGTAACAGTTTTAAAAGGGTTATAGTTTTTTTTTTTTTTTTTTAGGTTTATAATGAAGCATTGTGGAAAATATCTGTCTTAACTTTCTAAATCAAGTCAAAGTCTGTTTATCTAGCTGCACAGTCAAGACAAAGATAAAGCTAGCAACCAAAAAGATTAGTTTAGCATCCGAGCTTAATTTGTAAACCAAATGATGCCGGAATGCAAATAGGTGTGTGAAGTGGGTGTCTGGGGGGTCCTCCCCCATAAAATTTTGAATAAAGTAGATGCCATTTCCTGCATTCTGGTGTATTTTAATGGGTTGTTTAACATCTGGTTTTATTTACGTTTGTAAACACTTGATTCAATAACTATTTTCGAGAGCAACAAAAAGTAGCCTGACCAACAGCTCTCCTTGTGTGGATAGAGTATGGTTCACTTCTCTCAATCATCTTAACTAACACCCCTCTCCAATCCAGTACTATCGCCACTGCCACTGCCTTCATGTGCTTCAATTCTTTGTTGTTTAGTTTAATTCTCAATTCTCAATTGAGAAAGCTCCTCGGATGAGGAGCGAAACGTCTTCTGTTACAAATAAAGTCCAGTTGTTTTTTGTATTGAACGTTTTTTGAATTCATTGCAATAGTCCGGTCTAGACATGACAAATGCATGCAAATGCAGTTTTTCTGCATAATTTTTAGATAAGATGTTTCTAATTTTAGTGATGTTACGCAGGTGGAAGAAAGCAGTTCCAGTAACATTTTTAATGTGGGGGATAAAAGACATGTCCTGAACAAAAATAACACTAAGATTTTTAACATTAGTGCTGGAGGCCAGATTAATTCCATCCAAGGAGGGCAAAAGGCTGAAAAATTTATTCCTAAAATGCTCAGGTCCAAAAACCAAAATGTCAGTCTTGTCTGAGTTTAAAAACAGAAATTTTAGGGTCATCCAGGGTTTTATGTCTTCAAAACATGTTTGTAGTCTAAGTAACTTACTGAGTTCATCGGGTTTCATGGACAAATATAACTGTGTACCATCAGCATAACCATGAAAATTTATCCCATGCTGTTTAATAACTTCACCTAATGGAAGCATATACAAGGTAAAGAGTACTGTTCCAAGCACTGAACGCTGAGGAACTCCCTAAAAGAAAAATACAAATTATTTTAATTTAGATTACTACATGTATGTCGGTATAGTAAGTCGACGACAGTTGACTTGAATAATCTGATTATTTCCTCACATACATATTTTTAACAGCCAAAGTTGTTCAATAACGTCAATTTCTGCCAATATTGTCACTTGTCAGCTGCCTCAAGCATCATATTAGATTTTATCGTGTGTTGTATCACTTTTTTCCCAAGTTTACAAGCCATTGAACTTTGTAAATAAATAAATCTTGCAGATAAAAACTGTTGATGGTTCAAGTCGTTTCTCTGTTAATGTGCTTTCTTTATCTTCCAGCATGGCGGACACACATCCTGTGCCAGCATAATGATGACAATAGCTGAAGTAGTTTATTATTAAAATGGAAAAAAGCTATCACTTAATTATTTAAGCAGATGCCATCTCTTAGTTCAAAACAAGTCATGTCAGAGTCAGTATTACAGATACTGTATACCAAAGCAGTTTCTGAGATGTTTGCTTATGCTCTAATCATTGATCGTTCCTAAATGTTTAAATAATGAATGTTGAAACTGTTCACAGAGCCAAACTTGCTCTGAATTTGTTAAGACTGAAAAGAAAATTCCTTTGGGAGGAGAAATACCAGTATGTTATATGTTGCTGTAATCAAAAGGTATAAAATACAAAAAATAAAGGAACAGACAGAACAAAACCAAAACAAAGAGCAGCTTAGATGATTATTTCAAACTAAACGTGATGCTTCTTGGATGATCAGCAAGCTGAACAGAGTGATAAACACAGTGCTAAATGAATGGCCTTATTGTGTGAATGTTTATGAAGCATTCACACTATTGTGATCCATTTTTCTTCCATATAGTTTTCAGCATCTTTCTCATTCCACCATTTTTGTGCTATTTCAACAGATCATAAATCAAAATGTTCAGCTCTTTCAGGACAATCCTGCTATGACTTTTGGTATTGGTGGAACTTCAGCTTTTTGAAATATTTAGCCTTTTCTGCCAATTTTTCCTCATAGAAAAATAATTGAGCTCATTTCCCCCCTCCTTTAAAACTTTAGATCTGTTTACAAACTTTGACTGCTCCTTTCACATTTTGTTCTGCTTCTGCTTCTTTCAGCTTTCTTGTGCAAATTTGAACATTTTTCAGCTACTTTCAGCTTATTTCAGCTGTTCTGTGCTCCTTTCAGATTCATTCTGCTAACTACAACATTTTTATGCTTCTTCTAACTTATTTCTGCAAGTTTCAGCTTTTTCTGACATTTCAGCTACTATTTAGCTGTTTTTATGCTAATTTCAGCATTTACAGCTAATTCCACATTTTTGGCACTCATTTCAACTTTTTTCAGCCCATTTCAGAAAAAAATTGCTCTCTCCACTTCCTTCTGGTAATTTAAGCTTCTTTCTGCCTTTTTAGCTACTATTCAGCTGTTGGGTTTTTTTTTTTGTTTGTTTGTTGTTGTTTTTTCTAACAAATTTCTGCTTTTTTCAGATAATTTCCACTTTTTGTGCTCATTTCGGCTTCTTTAAGCCTATTGGCGATAACTGTGGTCTCTCTACTTACTTCTAGTGTTTTAAGCTTCCTCCTGCCTTTTCAGCTACTTTTCAGCTTTTTGTAAAAAATAATAATAATAATAATAATCATCTTTTTTAGCTAATTTACTAATTTTCGTGCTCATTTTATGTTTTCTTTCTGCTTTCTTCTGCTAACTTAGGCTTGTTCTTTCATTTCAGCTACGTTATAGCATGTTTTAGCTAATTTCAGCTGTTTTTCAGCAAGTTCTTCAGCAATAAGCATATACACTGCATTTGTGCAGGAAATGCAATTTCTCTAGTTTTAACACTGTTAGTGTGTTTTGTGAAATGAAATGTCACACAGCACAAATGATTAGTAGGTGTCACAGGACCAAGTGATGACGGGAGAGTAAAGTTTGTTCAAATCATCAGCTACAGATGGAAGGAAAGTTATTAAATTATATGAGAAGAGGCGGCACATGAAAAAATGGCAAATGGAGAAATATTGACAGCATTACTGCTAATTTGTCAGGGTTCTCTTCAGCGCTGGTTCCGTTCTGCAAAATGTGCTTCTTGTCAGCCTGTAGGGCTTCCTGCATAATGAAGATGATGAAGTTTAACACAAATAAATGAGAACGAGACTTTCTAATCCTAAGATTAACATATCCTGTCAATCTAATCCTGCACATCGAACTATAATGTTTTCTTTCGAACATTGTATCAAATGTTGAACTCTGTTTGAAGCAGCCTAATGACTGACTGGAGCTGAGCATCTGTGAAGATTAAAAACAAATGCTGTGACCTTTCTGCAACATTCAACGGATGAATGCATGTTCAAACCAAAGTAGCATTCCCTGAAAGAATGCTTATCACCCGTCGCCTTGCACTGTGTGACTCAGCTACTACCACGACAATTTCTGTCTCAGTATCTGTAAAACTGAGTTGTGTTCGCTGAGGTTAGTTGATATACATTGCTTTTTGAATAATTAAAACCTGTCTTCTGGTTATTTTGCTAACAGACAAACATGCCACAGATAATTACATGATTGCCCACCTTTCATGGGAGCAGAGGATAAACAATCCTAAAACACATTCATATGAGGTTTTAATAAACTCGTTGTTGAATTGGTTTAATTGTTAATTTGCAACTTTGTTTCCATAAAAGTTGCAAAACTATTTAAAATTAAAACGTAAACGTCAGAGAAAACGGCCACCAAGCTGACAGGCAGCGTGGTAAAAAGATCCAGAACATTTATGTATTAAATATTTACATTATTTCAGAATTTTTAAAAAAAGAGAAAAAAAAGAAATTAAAATTAAAATCAACATTAATTCCACTTATCACTAATATAAATTAAACCTACAACGACAATAAAAAAAAAATAAAAAAAAAAAAACACACACAGATTTATATATATATATATATATATATATATATATATATATATATATATGTATATCTTTGTTTTGTTTAATTACTCAAAATTATAGAAAAATATTTACATATGAAAGTAAATCTGTGTGTGTTTTTATGATATGCTCTGAAAACAGACAGATCACAGGTTTAGGTTATTAGTAGTTTGAAAGAGAGGTCGAGAACTGGTTTTCTTTTTCTTTGTAAGTCTTCCATAGAAAAGAAAGCTCAAAACTGTCCCAACCTTTGATCCAGGAGGAGGGGGCAACCCTAGGAAGGCGTGAACTGAGTTGTCCTCCTTGGCATCAAAGAATGTGTCGTAATCCTGCACGAAGGAGAGAACTGTTTTAGAAGTGACACCACATGATGCCCATGTTTTCTTGATAAAGTCCTGGCGCTCACCCCACAGTAGCTGTCTTCATTGAAAATCTGTGGAGGCAGAGGGATGCCGTTAGCAGGCTTCTTCTCCTCTGGGACGTTCTGCCTCATCCACATGCGGTTCTCCTCATTGCAGGCGATGTCCAGCTCGGTGTAATCCACTTTGAGAGCCTCCAAGAAGCCCACCACATCTTGCTGCTTCTTCTTGATCTGAGGAAAAAAGATAAAGAATAGCTTTTAGAAAAATCCTCGCAGACAGAACAAGTCTGTGAGAACTTTTTTTTTCTGGCTTGCTCTCGACAAAGACTGACACTTTCTTCCCCTCTCCTGCCCCCCTCCTGCTTTTGCTCTTGTCCTGTGTATCTCAGAGCCTCTCTTTACACATCTTCTGAATCATAAATTATTATGGACCTGGTCAGCTGGTCTTTCAAAACGCAATTGATAAAATTTTCTCGACGAGAAGACAGGGTGCAGGAGAGCCCTCATGCCCTGAAGGAACACACGCAGCTGGATATATTATGGATTCCAGGGGTGAATGGAAGATGATGTGTCTGTATTGTCCATTGAGGACGTTGAAGACACGTACATAATCGGATTTATGATAACAGAGTTTCTGCTTTTTGGAATCAGCGAGTACCTGGGATATCGACAAATAAGGAAGACGTCGGCAGCAGTTTTGGCAATGGTGAGGCTGCCTGCCTTACATGAAGGATGCACTGTGAGCGCGCAGACTCAGATGCTAGAACTTGCTGGCATGAAGGAATCGACCTTGGAGAAGGCTACAAGTACAGACCGGCGGAATGACCACAAATCTGGCTGTTTGGATTTGTCATTGAGTGCAGAAACTATGAAGGCAGATGGGAAATTAGTAGAGTTGATCTGTCCCAAAACAATTGTTGTTTATCTGAAACTGGCTCCTCCGTTTGGCCTTGGATAGGCCAACTTATCTCAAATTGCTCCTGGAGGACATGTTGTTAAAATTACATAGGTTTAAGAGTTTAGAACATTGCAACATGTTATACTAAAATAAATAAAGCATTTCTACTTCATGGTTTTTCACTTATCGTCGGGGGTGGGGGGACGTAACCCCGCCCAGTGATCATAACTTGGAAAATTACCCAGAATTCCATTTGTCGTCTAGTCACTTACTTTCTATTTGCGATAGTTGTGGCATAATTTAGAACATATGATTTTCCTAAAGGAGCAAAAAGATTGTTTCAACGACCCAACAGACTGTTACAAATGTTTTCAACTACTTTTATTCATAAATCACCCGTTTGTTCAGTTTATTATTTTCATCAGTAAAATGTGGAAATGGTCATGACCAGGGGTCTGCAACCTTTACAATGAAAAGAGACAATTCTGCCCTTTCGTTCACTAAATTAAACGTGTCAAGAGCCACAAAACCTGCTACAGTTATTATCAACTGGTGGCCCATGGGCCACTTTAAGTTTGTTAGAGGGGGCTTTTCTGGCCAGGTGTGAAATTATGAAACTGAAAGCATCAAATGATTTTTAACATTTATTGATATTTTTACATTTTAAGACAAAAGAAAAGACTCCTTCCATCCATGCATCCACCCATCCACTTTACCCATTTCTTTTTTTATGGGTTGCAGGGGGTCACTGATACCCCATGTCCAGGTCGCAAGGATATCACAGAAGACTGGATTCTTGT